ATTATTTTGGAATTTCAATTTTAAGCTGTAGCATGATGTTGTCTTTGGATCCAGAGGACATGAGTAACAATCCCAGATGAGGTTATGTAACCCTCATCAAATCATTCTCTTTTTCCCCAGGAAATGATTATCAGATTCTTTATCCATAAAGTAGGGCTCATATTCCATATGAATAGATTAGATGAGATCTTTTACAACAAAGCAAAAATATAGGTTAGCATCAGTTGTCCCTTTCCAAGTCATCATAGATGCCTATGGTCCCCAGTGGAACTGAGTTAGAGAAATTCCAGAGGTATTACTGGTCAACTATATCTGCTACTTTGCCGCAGCAAGTTACACAGTCTATCAGAAGTTGCCCAGATCCTTAGAAATTATGTAAGGCCTTATTTTTCCATAGCATGCCTACTACCCACACACTGAGATTTCAAACTTTGTACGTTAATCAACCCTCCCAAGTTATAACTTAATTTTTTTTCTTGCCTCTAACCACTTCAGAAATCTTGAATCATTAAATTCTGTGCTGTCATTCTGATTTTCCTTCTTTCTAGTTCTGTCTGTCCCTCACTAGTATTGCATTCCTCTCTGATATACTGGAAACCTGGTCTTCAGTTTCTTCTATTTTCTCCTAGACTGTCAATCACCCCTGTAATAACTTATTGATAAAGCTCTTTTTATTGCTTTTTGCTCCTTACTGGATTCTCCTACAAAAATTCCAGTATGTGCCATTCACCCTAACTGCTCTATGGATACAAAATTTCTGTCCCATCTGTCCCAACAGACCACCTGTTCTCCATTTCATCAAGAAACTTTGAGAACTCAAGACATGCTTTTCCTCAGCTTCCAGCCTTCCCTCCAGCATGTCCATCTACGCACATCCAGCCTTTCCGTCTTCTCTCAAATCTGAGCAAATGGCTTCTCGCTTCTGTTAAAAGTCAGTCTTTCCCCTTGTACCACCAATTCCATCTTCTTCATCTTCTCTTAGAATTTATTCCATTATTTTTATTCCAATTATCTGCTTTTAATCTTTCCCCCTTTGATAGTATCTTCCTATTTTTATCATATCCCATTTTTATCTTCTAAGGTTTCCTGAATCCAACTTCTCTTTATTCCCTATTACCTCTTTAAAGACCATCCCTGATCCATTTTTTTTCATGTTTTTATGTTTTTGTATTTCTTTTTTCTACCAGGTTAAAATAATATATATGAAATATCTATCTACCAAAATCAATTCCTATTAAAATATTTTAGTGATATTCCTTCATACACACAATAAAGTCCTATCTCTAAAAAAATGAAAAGCCTTTATAGACTCCTGTCCTCACTAGTTGAGCTCACTTCCTATTATCACTTTCTCTCTAACTTAACACTTTAGAAAAGCACACTGCCTGTGATTCCTGTTCATACATAAAGCTGTATCTTACCACTTTGCTTTTGGCTAAGATGTACTTTCTACTCTCTTGGCTCTACTGTTCAGTTCCATCTCATCTCATTCCAGGACTCCATCATTGGCTCCCTTTCATTATTAAGACATATGGATCCCGCTTTTTTAAAAATTTTATTTAAGCTATACAAGTTTCATATATACAGATTTAGGAACATAGTGGCACTTCCTTCCCCACCCTCCCTCCCACTTACACTCCTAATAATTTCATAAATTTACTCTTTTGGAGTTTGCTCTAAAACTTGAGTTTACTCCATGAGTCTCTTGCTAGGACTTGAAAGATAATTAATAAATTCTTACTTAATAATTTCATGAATAAAATATAAATATGCTCTGTATTTACTTTTGTTGTTCTCTTTTTCATACAGTTTTACTATGTGGAAGAAACAATTGTATTCACTAAACACTTCATGAATTTCCCCCTACATCTCTGATTCTTATTCATACTTAGCTTGGAAACATGCAAATAGTTCTGGACAATAAGCTGTAAACATAAGTGATTCATGTCACTTCCACTCCAATACTTTAAGAGTGCAGTGAATTTTCCAGAAGGCTTTGCCTTCTCAAGAATTTTTGAGATAGTTGAATCACAAAATGATAGAGGTGGGGTGGGGTTGGACACAATAGGTTATCTGCTGCCACAACACCAGTGTCCCACTTGGGTGTGGGTGCAAGTCCTAGCTGCTCCACTTCTGATCCACCTCCCTATTAATATACCTGGGAAAGCAGTGGAGGATGGCTCAAGTAGTACAAGGCCCCTGCCACCCATGTGGGTGACCAAGATGGAGTTCCTGGCTTGTGACAGGCTGGCCTAATCACGGCCTTTGCTGCCATTTTTGGAGTGTACTAGCAGATGGAAGATTGTGTGTGTGTGTGTATTTGTGTGTGTGTGTGAGTGTGTAACTCTTTCAATAAACAGATACACCTTTAAAAAAAAAAAAAAAAAAAGAAGATCATGGGGCAGAAACCAGTGCTGGATATGGATTAGTAGGAGTGAGAAGTGAATCCATCATGTTAAGCCACTGAAAGTTTAGAACTGATTTTGTTACCACAGATAATCTAGTCTACCCTGAATATTGGTTATTGTCACACAAGTTTATGCATTAATCCCTATCCTAGTACATGCATAAGAAGTTTTGTTGAACCTTAACCAGTGTGCAGCTCTTTATTTGCCCTTTAAGTTTTAATAATGCCTAAGTTTAGAGAAATTGTACCACATAACTGATATTTTCCCGCTGGTCTACTTCTTGCTACCCCCACCCCCTGCCACAAAGCCTATGCATATCAGAATGTGTTTGCTACAGTTGATTTTATGATTTCCATCCTTGCCCAGCCTATCATCTGGATGAAGTACTTCACAGCCTGTTCCCTATGATCTAAGTGGCAGTGGGAATATTTACCTACACACCCAGAAAAAATCCCCCATACTCACTCTTACATGTCTGTGACTCCAAGGTAGAATGTCATGGATGTAACTTTAGATTTTAATGCTTGTTACAAAAGAAACTTCTCCTAGGAATCATACTACATCACACTGCAATAGCAGGCTATGAAGATCAGAAATCAGATTATCTCCAATGTAGGTCTGCATGGCTCTAAAGTACTCCTAATGTGTCAGGAATATGTGTATAACATCCACTGACCCTTAATTAGCAATATTTTGATGGAAACTTTAACACAGTTATATTTATTTATATAAGTATTCTATAAAATGGACTGGCTTTCCTAATCATGTCCCAAGTTTTATTGAACTTTATTTGCATTTTGAAATTTCACTAATTCTTTTTTTAATATTGAGTTTTTTCCTTTCTTTAAAATTTTATTTAAGTTATACAAGTTTCATATATACAGATTTAGGAACATAGTGGCACTTCCTTCCCTACCCTTCCTCCTGCTTACACTCCTAATAATTCGTTAAGATTAAAAAAAAAAATCTGGCCACAGTTGTGTCTTTGGTCTGGGCTAATATGAAGTCATCAGGATTCATCTCTTACCAACAGTTGCTTTGGGAAGACTCCTTCCTCAGACAGGATCTTCTGTTTCCTCATGCCTGAAGTCCCCAAGGCTATTTGTTTCAGTTTCAAACACAGCAGGATTGTACAAGAGTCTTTTCCCCAGAGTGCCCGCTCAAAGACTCATTGCTTTGCATGAGTTCTGAATGGGTCTTGCTCCCACCCCAGAACCAGTCCCTGTGGCCTGGTGAATACAGTGCACTGAGCAGCTTGGGCCTGTCACTCCCCCTGGAGTGTTAAAAACAATCTAAAGCTTCAAAAGCATATAATCTAAAAGTGGGAAAGGAGATCATTTCTAGGGAGAAATCAGAAAATGACTGCCTCAGGGAAGATAATGACACTGGCAGCAATGGCAACCTCCGTCTTTTCTGCCTAATCTGCTACCCATGAGGAAGCATTAGGAGACAACTTTGAATTAGGGAATCAAGGTGTTTCCATGAGCCCTTCATGGTGCATCTTGATCCTATTTTCTCTCTCTCTCTCTCTCTCTCTCTCTCTCTCATTTCTCTGAATTTCTCTAAATTACTCTCCACATGTTTTCTTGCATTTGAGTTATTTTTAAGCATTTGTTTCCCCTAAATCTAAATCATCAGCTACTTCAAGGCAAGAACTGTATTTGATATTACTATGAATTCTACATTGTGTGTTACACATTAGTAGGCATCAAAATTCAACAAATAATTATTTGTTGACAAAATGAAGGGACGAGAAGTCAAAGGATTTCATTCATACCACTATCTCATATCACTGCTGCAGTGCTTGTCAGAGGAGGGGGTATATAACGTGCTAATATGCACACATAACTTACTATGTGCCAGGTGCAATAGCAAGCAACAAGGATATGAGGATATAGTGATTAAAAACAAGCATTTCCTCCCTTCAAAAGTTTATACTTTAGGAGCCAGCAATACAGCATAGTAGGCTAAGCCTCCACCTGTGGTGCTGGCAACCCATATAGGCACAAGTTCAAGTCTCAGCTGCTCCTCTTTTGATCCAGCTCTCTGCTAATGGCCTGGGAAAGCAGTGAAAGATGGCCCAAGTGGTCGGGCCCCTGTACTCACCTGAGAGACCTGGAAGAAGCTCCTGGCTGCCAGCTTCAGATCAGCCCAGCAATGACCATTTTGACCATTTGGGGAGTGAACCAGCAGATGGAAGATATCTCTCTGTCTCTCCCCCTCTCTGTGCATAATTCTCCCTCTCAAGTAAAAAAAAATCTTGAAAATTAAAGGCTTATACTCTATTGAAGCAGACAGACACTGGGTCATTTTAGTTAATGCTACAAAAGATCATTCTAAGATATTAAGGGAGAATGTACCTTTGTAATAGATTTTATTTTAATTACTATTGTTGTTGATTCCAGTTAATTCTAAGTTCATTACCTTTGGGATTGCCATTTTTGTTGGTTGTTAATCTTGGATTTTTCTAAGGCATTAACACTAGATTCCTAAATAAATTCTCAATATCCAAAAAATTACATGTAATACTTATGATAATGAAAGACTAATTTGTTTTTCCCGCTCTTTCCTTCATTCCTATCTTTCTGCTAGCCTGAAGTTCTGGATCAAATACAAAATTTAAGAGAGTTGTGGATGGATAATAATGCATTGCAAGTGCTACCTGGGGTATGTAAGTTTTATCATGCTTTGTTGTATAACTTGTATGTTAGACATTGATTATATATGATAATAATTACTCATAAATCTTAAATCTCAGTGTTTGCCTTTCAAAGTAAAATAACACTTATTAGGAGTGCTTAATCACTGAGGCTTTTCACTAATTTGTTTTTGAATATTTCACATATCTTCTGTGATTATTATAGGTATGTGAAATGTATGCAAGACTTATCTTTTTTGTGGGAGTATATCTGTCATCTCTTTCTACACTGATTATTTTTAAAGCTGAAAATTTAATAGTTAAATTTTAAAAGGAAATATTATATGTAACATAAAGGTACATTTTAAAAAATTAACTTTATTCATGTAATTTTAATAATTCATGTAATTTTAATAATTCACGTAATAAGCTAGAGAATGGTTTCTGCTTATATTGTTAGATATCTTCCATTCCCCCAAAAAAGAAAAAAAATCTTTCTTATTTTAGGTGATTTCCAATAAAACCTATATTAATCTTTGAAAATGACAAAACTCATAGAACATTAAAAATGGAAATTTACATTATATTAAAAATTTTCCTCCACTAAAAGGAAATTTAGAAATATCTGTTTGAGTAGTAGGCTTCTCATCATACATAGCGTGTAACTAGTCCTGCTTTTTCCATCTAGTGAAAAAATAGCTTCCAATATAACACTGCCCCTTGCCACTCATAACACATGCACTTAAATAAGCATCTGTATGTACACACACTTGCATACACATATACACAGAGCAAACATAAGTCCCCAGTTGTCTTGGCCAGCTCCAAACTCTTGACATTGTTATACTAAGTAGCCAGGACAGGTGGAGATGCAATAGTTCTGTCGCCAACACAGAAGTTTAGATGTGTTCCCAAAGCCAATTTCATTCCACTTTTGAAATAACATTTCTTAAAATGTTTATAAAAGCAACAAAACAAGAAGTCTATTTGGTCTTTGAAAAAAAAAAAACATAAGATTACATAAAGGGCGATACATGAGAAAATGTTAGGGAAAAATATTTTATTTCATCAAAAGGATACATTTCTCCTGTCATCACAGAAACAAAAAAGAAAAATATGAAAATCCTCCATTTATTGTTTTGTTTAAGAATAATTTCTCAATTCATCTCTATGAATCAGAAACTATTATAATTTCAGAGTTTCAAAGACCATGCAGCTAATATCCTTGAACATATTTAGTATGTTTCAAGGCCTTGAATAAATTTGTTTGATGAACTCATGCATAGTAGGAAAAACAAGCCTGCGTTCCACTGTGCACAGTAGTACTATAGTGCCATATTCAAGGTACAGTAGTCCCTTCTTATCCATGCTTTCACTTCCTGTGGTTTCAGTTACTCGTGATCAACCATGGGCAAAAAATTCAATGGAAAATTTAAGAAATAAACTATTCATAAGCTTTAAATAATTTCCATTATACTATATTGTTATAACTGTGCTTTCTTATTATTGTTGTTATTATATTGCTGCTTAATTTATGAATTGAACTTTATCATAGTTATGAATATATAGGAAAGAAACAGCATATAATGAGTACAGGTTTTTATACTACCCACCACTCTAGTCACCCCAGGTTTTCTTGGAATATATCGCCTATGCAAAAGGGGAGACTACTATGTCTACAAATCTTGGGTCAGCATGGGTAAGACACTTACCAATTCCCTGAGGAAACAGAATGTATATCTAGGTGGAAGTTTAGACCTTCTTTGAGGTATATATCTTTTCAAAAACACTTACATAGTATTTACCATGAGCTATGCACTGTCTAGATGTTTTATAAATATTAACTCATAGAATCCTCCTAAAACTCAATCAAGTAGATTATGTTGCCATCTCTGTGTTACAGATGAGGAAATCGAAACACTGAAAGAGATGACTATGGCAAGGTCATGTAGCCAGTCAATGCTGGAGTTGTAATTCAAACCAGTTCCAAAGGTTACTATCCACTGTGTTGTTCCAAAATTCTATCTCAAATGGTACAAGTGAGAATTAGGTTCATTATTTTTCCAATCAGTACATTCCCCAAATCTAATTGTGTCAATCATCCCACACTCTAAATTTCTTGATAAAATTATTACTTTGATAGAAATATGGTGCTGAAATCTTCTGTAAAACATATAGTGCTGTTTGTTTAAAAATTTGCTAGCTTTAAGTAGATTCCTTACCTGATTTAGTACACTTAAACTTCACATTTGTTATATTCTATGTGAGAACACCCCCACCTCCTTGACAAAAATAGCCAAGGCTTTCTTAAAGCCAATGATTGCAAATAGTATAGTCTTACAATTATCCAGACTCTTCTTTGAAGGGCTCATCTTAAATGCGGTCTGTAGCCCATGTCAGTCAGTTTCACAGAATGAGCTTCAATATTTAGTGTCATAGATAGAAAAAAAATAAGTTCACTTTTTCTTGACTTGTATATCCTAATATATTAAGTAATATACTTTTTAAATACTTTTAGAAACCTAGGATATTATTTTCCATAGTTTGTTATAATTCAATCAGACAGATAATGATATATTTAGTGTTTCATGTGGCTCTAGGTTGTGACCATCAATCTAAGGTTAATTAACCAAAGCATAACTAAATGATACATTGATTTTATATTTATTTTTAAGCAATTTCTTCATTTGCTGTCCTCTGCTCACCTACAGACCCCTCTATGTCCAGAGGATTGTTGGAGCAACACCCAGAACCCTCAAGGACTCTAAGACATTTGCCTCAAAAGCCTTTACCATCCAGGCTGTTAAAAGAGGCCTTTAAAAGAAGTTTGAATTAAAGGTTTGGAAAGACTTGCCAATAAGCACCAAAGTGTTATTTTGCCTCCAGAAAGAGTGTTTAGAAACTATACACCAAACTATTGAGTTATACTAGGAATAATCATGAAGGAAGCTTCAACAACACAAGAAATGTCAGTACATTAAACTGACAGAAAAAGACTCACACACATAAAAACAAATGTATCACTCTTTTATTGCTCAGTGAAAGAGAACTGTGGGATACGGTAACATAACAGTTTCCTGGGTGGAAAACTGAGAGTAAACTAACAGTGTTTTCCCAAGTGGGCATATTTCTAAGCAGGAGGAGAAACTGAGTCATCCAACCTGACTCACTTAAAGCATTGTGTTCCTAACCCAACCACTGTTCAGCTGCTCCAGGACTGTGCTCCTACTGTGTCACTGTGGGGAGCTGAGGGAACAGGGCTGGAGAGATGTTCTCAGTTAACTATGGACTTGGGTCCAGGAGTTGCCAATATAACCAAGTGAGTTTTGTAGTCTGTAGTCTGACAAAGGTGTGTTTCAATTTCAGCTCCACCTCTTATAGGGAGTAACTTTAGAATGTACTTGTAGTAGATGATGTTACACAACTTCTTCTGGGAATGAAGAATTTACTATATTCCTCCAGCTTCTGGAAATACTGCTCACAGCCCTCTACCCTCTTCAGAGTATCCTTACGAGAGGAGAACCTCCTCACCCAGTTACATGCCCATCCTGGAAGTCTTCCAACCAATGACTCGTTAATGCACTGCTAGTAAGGGACAGTCCCTCTGCTCCTACTCTGGCCAACTACAGAGCAATACCAACTTCAGTGTTCCTTGCACAGTTAGTTGAGGACTTTCTCAAGATCTCATCACAGCCCATCCTCTCTGTGTACCCAATCTTGCTTCTTTCCTTCCCTATTCCTTCCTTTCCAATACTGTTGATCCTAAAAGCACTCTTCTATGAACTTTTATCTCTGCCTGTGCATTGCAGAGAAAAAGGCATGCCATTACTCAACCTACATGCTTTAATGTATGTTTAAATGCAGATTCCAATTGAGTGAGTCTGGGATTCTACATTTCCAACAAGCTCCCAGGTGATGTCAGTGCTGAGTAAAAGAATATAAAGTATCAAATCAAGTAATAAAAAGAAAATATTTAGCACCATGCTAGTATATGCTTAGGGATATAATAATGTATTACTTGTTTATTTGTGCTTTGTAAAATAAGTAGAGACATTGTAAGACATACATAGATAGAACACATAAGCAGGTGAACCATTAAGCAACCAAAATGTGTGTGAGTATTTTATCAAAATATGCCTGAAAGAAAGGAAAATGAAGACTTTCAGCACTCATGGCTGAACTAAGTGATCACTGTTCCCAGCTATGAGTTGATTCCTCTCCTGCCCTTAGCATCACTTACTAATTCAATCATCCCCTCTTCATCCTCACATCTGCTGCCTTAACTAAATCATAGCTAAACTATTTCTATATCCTTCTAGTGAGTCTCCCTGACTCCAGTCACGAATATGCCTTTGAAGTTTTCCTGAGCTTATTTTTTCTAAGTACAGATCTGTTATGTCATTCCTCATCTTACAAGCCTTCAGACAGCTTTGCTTACCCATAATATAGAGTTCACATCTCCTCACAATCGTATCGGACCTTTGCACTGTTGAGTCATTCCTATCATCCCAACTACACTAATTTCAGTTTTGTTTTTTTTTTCAAATTTCTCACTGTCCCTCAGACCTGCCATGATTTTTCACACTTCGCTGTGATTCATGTGCTGTTCTGTCTTCCAGGGACAGCTTCTCCTTTCTTGATAAGCAGTGTCCGCCAGACAATTTGCAGTCCTTCCCGTGTTGTTTTATGGCATTCCCTATATGCTCATTTTATTGGATAACCACAGGGTACTATAGTTTTTTGTTTACTTGAAAGTTTCCTTCACTGCTATGAACCCTGTAAAGGTATAGACTATCTTCCTTATGAGAACTCTCTCCCCATGCTTAGCTGTCTGATCCATAATTATTCTCCAGTATAAGACAGTTATTGATATATAGTAGATCCCCACAGGAATGTTGAAGGAACAAAAGATTGAAGATGATTAATAGGATGCAGTGCAAATTGCAATTTTTAATTATTTATTGAAGAGAGAGAGAGAAAGAGACCCCATTTATGTTTTATTCCTAAATGTCTCCAATGCCCCCTCACTGGAGCCAAAGCTATGAGCCAGGAATTCCATCCAGGGCTCCCATATGGGTAACAGGAATCTAATCACTTGAATTATCTCCACTGCCTCCAAGGTTCTGGACTAGTAGGAAGCTGGAATCAAGAATAGAGCTGAATATTGAACCTAGGTACTCAGATACAACCCATGAGCATCTTAACCACTAAGACAAGCACATGCTCTAGAATAATAACTTTGAAACTTTCTGGTGCATTTGAATTGTTGAGAACCAACAGGTCAATATGCAGTTTCAGTAGCAGTTTTACTTATTTAATTTGTTGTATTATTCAGTAGTAACTTTGGAATTACTGTTGTGATATAATTTATCTTTTATCTTTTGCATTGAAATATATGGCACATATCATATACAATTCAATGGCTTTTAAGCATACTCACATAGTTATATAACCATACCACAATCTAATTCTCAAGCATTTTCATCACCCCTAAAGGAAACCTTAAGTCATGAGCAGGCATTCCTTTGTCTCCCTCCACACAGACCCTAACAACCCTATTCTCCTTTTTATCTCTATTGATTTGCCTATTGTGGATATTTCATATGAATAAAATTATGAAATATCTAGAGTTTTGTGACTGACTACTTTGCCTTTGCATATATTTATAACTTTACCCATTTTGTAGTATATGTCAAATTCCTTTTTATTGCCAACTAATATTCTATTATATGGATAGATCAAGTTATATTTATCCATTTGTCGATTGACAGATATTTGGGTTGTATCACTTTTGATTATGAATAATGCAAATGTCACCATTTGTGCAAGTTTTTATGTGTACATATGTTCTTATTACCAGACACATATCTAGGGATTGTTGCATCATATAGAAACTCTATGTTCACCATTTTGAGAAACTGTCAAACTGTTTTCCATAGTAGGTTACCATTTTACATTTCTCAAAATATGAGCTATATAATTTCTCCATATTCTTGTGAACATTTGTTGTAGTTTATTTTAAAATTAATTTTACAGTATTCTGGTTTTTACAGCTTTAACATGTCTTGTGAAAGTTTATCAACTAACCCTGAGTTTATGCAATGTCAAGTCTATAGGGAAGTTAAAGATGTTGGTATACCTGGATATGTCAAAAAACAGAATAGAAACAGTTGACATGGATATTTCTGGATGTGAAGCCCTTGAGGACCTCCTACTATCATCTAATATGTTGCAACAGTTGCCTGACTCTATAGGTGAGAATATAATATTTTGACATGAATATTGATGTCAAATGTACCATTTTCATTTTTGGCAGTATGGTTTGTCTGTAGATGTAGGTAATATACTTTTAGCTTAATATTATTAAATTAGCAAATTCACCATGCAAGATCATAAAGTAGTATTTAACAAAATCTTACTGTATTTTTCAAATTCAGGAAGCTGTCCTATTAAAATTATCCTACTATATTGATATGTTTTAAAAGTTGTTAGATCTCCTATTAAAAATGTTATTGTAAGGCATATATAAGTTAGATTTAGAGTAATTTGATAGCTATGTGTTTCTCTTCATATTACCACAGCAGTTTCTTTCAGTAAGATCTGGGTATATTCTGTTTTTAATATGTTATAACATACCCTTATTTAGGAATTACAAAAAAATATATAAACTGTAATCTTAGTTCTATTAAGTTCTATTATTTTTTAAAAGATACATTATCTTCAACATATGAAGATTCTTGAGGGAAGATCATTTATCTTTTAGAATATAGTAAGCATTCAATTCTTTTTGTTTATTATATGAGTTAAATAATGAAAGACAATAATAAGTAAACTTTTTATATAAATGTGTTTCTATCATTATGAAAGAACTCTGGAACATAAATTTTAACTTCTTCGAACTGAATGTGTCATGTGTTCTGGAACTTGATACTTCTAAAAGTTGTCAGAACCTAGGTATTCCAACTGAAGTGAAGCTCTAAGACAAGACAGCTTCCTGATTTTCCGTCAGTATTTTATTACTTCCATTGTTACCATTCTTTCAGGGAGATAAAACAAATGTTTAGTTTCAGCAAAATAGCTACCTAGCTTTTCTTCCTTTTAGATTTTATAAATTTTTGACTCACATAACAAATTTCATAACAGTATTTCTTCAGCTTTCTCAATCATAAGACAGCTTGGAGCTTTATTAAGTTACATCCCAGACCCTCTCTCTGGAAATTCTGATTCAGTAAGTCTATGGTCAAAACTCTGATTTACATGAAGCCAGATAGTTTAGTTTAAGAAAAACTGAGAGTGTAACAGGGAAGGAAGCATGGAAGTTAAAGATGACAGAGTAGCTTAAAACATAATCCTGCACTTCTACTTAAGCATTCCTCCATGCCACTTAAAATACATACATTTAAAGTACATATTTTTCCTCATTGCTACCTATCAGTGCTGAGAACTATGTCTGGCATAGTTTATAATTGGTAAATAAAATAATTTAGACATTCTTATGGATGAATCGAGGTAGTCTGGAAATCTGAAGCTGGTTCTGAACTCCTGAAATTGGAGGTCACGTGGAGGTTACCAAAAAACTGCCAGATAGGAAGGGGTGAGTACAATGAAAGAGAATTCATTCACCCTTACAAATGAGGTTGCACACAAAAACTTCAAAGCAAAACTGAGGTCATTATGATAACCTGGAATTCAACTGAAAAGAAGTTAGCTCAGGGAAATAGAAGTTTTTAAGCAATACAAAAGTGATCTGAAGTATATGTAGATCCTTAAATAGATTTAAAAAGAATAACATTTATAAGAATAATTGCTTATAAAACAAAGCTAAGAAATATGACTAAGAATAATTGGTTATGAAAAAGTACCAATTAAAAATCCTTGAAATAGAGGCCAGCGTTATAGCCCATCTCATAAAGCTGTGGCCAGTAGCATCTCATATAAGTTGCAGTTTGAATCCTGGCTGCTCTACTTCCAATCCAACTCCCTGCTAATGCACCTGGAAAAGTAGCAGAAGATGACCCCAGCGCTTGGGCCTCAGCCATTCACATGGGATACAGATGAGGCTCTGGACTCCTGTCTTCAGCCTGAATCAGCCTTGTCCATTGGGGCCATTTGGGGAGAAGACCAGCAGATGGAAGATCAATCTGTCTCTCCCTCTCCCTGTATCCCTCCGTCCTTCTCTGTTACTCTGCCCTCCAAATAACTGAGTAAATATTTTTTAAAATATCCTTGATATGAATGGGGAGATATTGACCAAGAGTATAAAATGGCAGCTAGACAGAAGGAACAAATAATGAGTATTTACGGTGGTGGGTCTGATAATTAACTTGACCCATAATTTCATACTGTACATGTATATCATGTCACTGTACTCATAAGGATATGAATATAGTTTGTAAAAAAATTAAGTTAATTATTTTAAAAGATCACTGGAAATGAACTGAATACTGGAATTTTAAAAATCAACTATGATAAAACTAGAATGACACAGATATAGAATTAGTACATTGGAAGACAGTACTAAAGAATAGAACAGGCAGATATTTTAATGGAAAATGTTAAAGATTAGTTAAGAGACAAAGAAAATACAATGAAATGTGTATTCTTAAAAATTTATATTCTCAGAAAATACAGGATTCCAGAAATACAGAAAAGAAGCAATGGCAAAGGGAACTATTCAAAGGCAGAATAGTTCATAATGTTTTTGTGGCATTAAGATACTAGTAATTTATTATATTAAATACACATAGTGCTAAAAGAGATAAATATAATGAATTAATCCTGGTTTATTACCATGAAACTGCAAAAATAAAGAAAAAGCCTTAAACTGCCACAGAGCAAAAAGAGCTCATCTACAAAATAACAGAACTGATCATTTTCACCAGTGATGTAGATTCAAGACAAAGGAGCTAATAACAGGGAGATTGGATTTTTATACCAAAGTAAATACATGAAGAACCAAAAAAGGTATTTTAACATATTCTAAGAATCTTTAAGAGAATCTTGAAATTGTACTTTGCTCAGAAAATAAAAACAAACCCAGAAGGAAGGAAATAGTAGCAAGCAACTAATCTGATAAATTAAGTTATTCCTGAATAACTAGTGACTATAAAAGAGTAATCTTCTTTGTTTAAAATCCTTAACTATGAAGCATGGAAGAGGATTGCTAGAGAGCATTAAGAGTGCACCTTGTCTTATTCAGGATGAGACTAGAGACACTAAAATAACTTTAGAAGTTGTAGTAAATATAATGAATAGATACATTAAAATTTAGTGTATTTAAACATGCTTTGGAAACAGATTGCCTGAATTCAGATTCTGGCTTTTCTGCCTTACTATCTTTGTGACTTTAAATAAGTGACTTAATCTTTCTATGCCTCAGTTTCATCATCCTTAAGTGGGAGTAGTAATAGTATGTATATCATAGGGTCATTTGGAGCAATTAATTAGTATATGTAATTGTTACATAGAACAGTCCCAGACATATACCAAGTACTCAATCAGTGTTAAACAATATAATAATTATTGTAATCTTAGATTTGGTGATGCAAACCTCTTGCTTTCAAAGTTCTGTTACATTTGTGTAAATGCCATATGAATATTAGCTACTTTAATAATAAATTATATTACTGTTAATACATTGATTCTAATTATATAAAGTCATAGTAATAGAAGACTTTTTCTTTCTCTTCATCGAGAGTATAGGATAAAGACATGGAAAGTTGGGGAAGTACTCAAGTAGAGCAAAGGAATAGAATACAATATCTTTGTTTCCTGTAGGGTAGAAGAAAAGAGTCCAAGCAGATTGACTTAGAAATGCAGTAAAGGGATTGTCTGCCGGAGGAAGACAAGAGCTACAAGGATGGGGCTAGTGGCCTTATTCTACTCCAGAGGCCATCAAATTCCTGCAAAAGCCCCAGCAGCTGTACAGAAACTATTACCTTATGAGTGGCAAAGAAGCTACTTAACAGAAAATTATCAGAGGCATTTTGTCAATCTTTAGAAAAAAAAATCTATTGTCCCTACATTTGGCCATAGCCCAGCCCACCTCAAGGATTTCTCATCATTACTTCATCATTACTGGAACTGTGATCCTCTAAAAGACTGCTTTGCTACCTCCCATCATAATGTTTGCTCAGCCATCAATAACCCAGCCCAAAACTTCTTGTGACTCAATTAACTGATATTGAGGATATCAGCCTTCTTCTGACTCCACTGGTGGGCAGGAACTACCAAGTCATAAAAATTTTTTTGAAGATTATTTATTTATTTGAAAGTCAGAGTGCCACAGAGAGAGGGAGAGAGAGAGAGACAGAGAGATCTTCCGTCTACTGATTCATTCCCCAAATGGTTACAATGGACTAGGAGCCTGGAACTCCATCTGGTTCTCCTATGTGGATAGCAGGGACCTAAGTACTGGGACTGTCTTCCACTGCTTTCCCAGGCAAATTAGCGGAGAAGTGGATGGGAAGCAGAGCAGCTGGGACTCACACTGGCGCCCATACGGGATGCCAGCATCACAGGCTGTGGCTTAACCTACTGTGCCACAACTCGGGCCCGCATCAAAACCTCAACTGAAACTCATAGCCCCCGGTTTTCCTCCTGTAACTGATAAACTCAGGTTTGCTTTTCTATTTCCAAGATTGATAACATATTCACTAGAGAAGCTAAAATGATTCAATCAGCTCTTGAACATACATGAATATGGCCGTGGATGTCCAAACTTCCGAGATAAATTGTCACAAGAGGAGTTGTTATCTTTCTCAGGTGGTGTTGTTTTCAGGCTGATGTATGAAGCTCCAGATTTTGTAGATATTTTCTCACTAGTGTCAGATAGTGATAATATTTCTCTCTACCAGAGTAGAGATTCTGAGTGTTTGGAAGAAAAGGTTACCAAGCATACTGAAATTTAAGGTGCAACAACAGCTTTATTCTGGACTTCTTGTGACTTACTCTAAGCCTTCAAAGAATCCTTAAAATACTTGAGAGGAGGTGGGCATGACCTTTTGCAGTTCTCTCAAAATATATTCACAAAGTACCAGCTTTGCAATATACTCTGCATACACGCACACACATACCTACACAGAATTCCACAATCGCTTTGTAGTCAACATTGATACATTAGCATATAAAAGCTCCTAGAAATACTCCATTAAGGGAAGCAGTTTGATTTTGCTTAATTTGGCATTTCTCAAAACATATTTGACCATTGTACTTACTACATCTGAACAAACTTTCTGCTGAAAATAGTAATCAGTAGTGTGTATGTATAATTACAATGTAAAGTAGAAACTAACCAAATATTAAGGCTTTCCCTTGGATTTTGGCACTTTAAACCATGTCAATACTATTGGTTGTATTATAGATAGATGAGAAAGCTAATTATGCCAAAGGCGACTGTTCTTTAATTACTCTGGGTATTACTCAGTTAAACCATGAGAGGAGAGCATAAATCATAAGTTATAAATCAGATAAGGAGAAACAAATAATTGTAATTTCAATTGTTGTGTGGTTCTACTCAGTATATTAATAATTACAAGTTTTTGTGCTTAGTGCTGATCAAAGTCAAGGAATTGTGGCACCAAAAAGAGTATGAGGTCATATGTTGTAGTTTTCCAAGTCCATAATTATAACCACTGATAGTAATACCTCAGTATTCATTCCTTGATTATTATTCTTAATTCAGATTCATTTTCAACTTGTATCAAAACAGGAATCTTAGTTAAGAGTGCTTAAGAGCTAGTTAAATATTAAATGGCAGCTGGTGTGAAAAATTTCATTTGCTGAAGAATAAAAAGGGAAAATGTGTTAGTATTAGGGTCAACTCAGTTCTCTACTATGCCTATATTTTGTATTTGTCTGTATTGTATTCTTGAAATCCCGTCGATGTCAGTGAATTTTTTGTAGCTAGAATGTCAAACTTAGGTAACATAAAAATATCAGTTTGGGGTTCATATAAGAAAACTCAGCCAATTAGCATGCCAGGGATCACCACAAGTGACTCCTTTGATTCCTTCTTTATCACATTTCCTGTCTTAAATCTGCTCTTATATATTAATAAATTTTCCTCTCTATTTTAGGACTGTTGAAAAAACTAACTACTCTAAAAGTAGATGACAATCAACTTACAATGCTGCCCAATACAATCGGAAAGTAAGTGCCAACATTTCATACCAGTCAGAGTCTCTAAACAGAAACCTAGGATATATTCAGACACCAATAATCTTCTTCATGGGTCAACTTATTTTAGACTGTATTTTATTTAGTTATAAATGTTTTTATGGTATACCTTAATTTGGTTTTATATCTGAATGTTGTATTGACATCCAACTATATAATACCATAAGAAATATTTATCCAGGAATCCTTCACAAGCAAAGTATAGAGACCTTCAATTTTACTCTTGCTGGTATTTTCTAGATAATATTAATTTGACGCTTTTAACAGTGTTTCAGCTTTAAGTTCACTTGACTTTTTCTTGCAAAGTTAAATCAATTTTTATAATGCTCTACAATATGAATGTTTCTATTATATTATTAATAATATTTGATATTTACAGAGGCTTAATATATTTTAAGAAGCTAAAGAAAAAAATATCTGCTTTAGCTGGCATTTTTTAATTTCAAGATGAAAGTTCAACACTGCTTTTTAAAAATAAAATATATTTATCTGATGATTTTTTCTAATTTATGTTGTGACTAACATTTATTTAGTTCAGATTTTCAAAATTTTTTGAGATAACATACTTTTAATTTACATTATAGTCAAAGACTTTTTGGTTCCACTAAATAAAGAGTTCAACAAATAGAAAACAAAAAGACCATAGTCCAATAGGAAAATAGGCAAGAGCCATACACAAATAGCAAAGGAAAAGATGTTCAACATTACTCATACAAAGCAAATTTTAAAATAGTCACAAAATCATTAAAGTTATAGTAGCATATAATTCCTGTGTCAATTTGTTTGATAATTATTTAAAACAAAGTTTGAGAAAACTCTGTATCAAAACTGATGCACTCAAGTATGTATCTCTTTGTTTCTCTCATTTTTTTTAAGTTTTAGCTCCCACATATAATGGAGAACATTCTGTATTTCTTTATTTATCTGACTATTTCACTCAAAATGATGTTCTCTAATTCCAACCATTTTGCTGCAAATGAAAGAATTTCATTCTTTTGTCTGTTTCTTTGAGATCTTCCAGTTTGTTAGTACTACTAATAGTTATGATCCTTTTTATTTCAGTGGTATCAGTTGTAGTATCTCCATTATCATCTCTGATTTTATTTATTTGGGTTTTTTAACTGTTTCTTAGTCTGCCTAGAGGTTTATGTATATTATCAAAAAATAGCCTTTTTGTTTTGTTGATCTTGTATATTAACTTTCAGTTTCCATTTTATTTATTTCTGTTTTGATCCTTATTAATTCTCATCTCCTGCTAATTTGGAACTTGGTTTGATCTCTTTTGTTTTGTTCTTGAGATGTATTATTAAATCATGTATTTGATATCTTACTTTTTTAGTATAAGCACTTATTGCTATACACTCCCCTCTTAATACTGCTTTTGCTCTACCTCTCTACCCACAGTTTTTTATATGTTGTGTTCATTTTCACTTGTTTCAATAAGATTTTTGCTTTCCTATTAATTTCTTCAATGACTCACTGGTCATTCAGTAGTATGTTGTTTAATCTCCATGTATTCATGAATTTTTTTTCCTTCTTATTGTTGATCTCTAGTTTTATTCCTTTGTAGTCTGAGAAGACACATGATATGATTTCAATCATCTTAAATTTACTGAGATTTAATTTGTGGGCTATTACATGCTATATCCTAAAAAATGTACCATGTGCTGATGAGAAGAATGTGTATTCTGTAGCTGTTGGGGAAACATTCTGTAAATGTTTGTCACATCTGTTAGCTAAATAATATGGGTCAACCCTGACGATTCGTTGTTGATTTTATGCCTGCATGATCTGTCCACTGATCACAAAGGGTGTTGAAGTCCCCCATTATTACTGTATTGGTCAGTCTTCCATTAGGCCTAAGAGTATTTTCTGTATATATGTGGATGGTCTGGTGTTGGATGAATATTTATTTATGATTATTATATCTTATTGCTGAATTGATTCTTTTATATACTGTCTTTTTTTCTCTTTTTACAGTTTTTTTTTCTTATTTAAATTCAGTTTTATCTCTTATCCTGCTATTCCTGCTTTTTTTTGGTTTCCACTAGCCTGTTAAATCTCTTTCCTGCCGTTCACTTTCAGTCTATGTGTATTGTTAGTTTCTTGTAAGCAGCAGGTAGTTGGGTCTGATTTTTTTATACATTCAACCAACCTATATCTTTTGACTGGGGAAGCAAATCCATTTACACTCAGGGGGTTAGTATTTATAGATAAAAAGCATCACCTGTCATTTTATTGACAAGTTACTAATTGTAACTGATATACTAGTGAATTTGGTGGTGTCACCATGTGTTATGATGTTTATTTCTAATGGAGGACTCTTTTCAGAATCCCTTAAAAGGCTGATCTATTGGTGATGCATTCTATCTGTTCTTGCTTGACTGGGAAATACTTTTTTTCTGTCTCACTTTTAAAGGATGGTTTCATTTATATACTTTTGGTTGGAAGTTTTTTGTTGTTGTTAAGACCTTGACTATATCATCCACTCTCTTCTGACTTATAGGGTTTCTGCTGAGAAATCTGCTGTTGGTCTAATTGGTTTCCCTTTATATGTAACTTGATGTTTTTCTCTATTTTTTAGGATTCTTAACTTGTCCTTAACTTTTGACAATTAGACTATAATATACCTTGGAAAAGGTCTTTTTTTGGTTCAATATGGTTAGGGTCCTTTGAGCTTCCTGAATCTGGATTTCTATATCTCTTTCAAGACTTGTAAACTTTTCAACTACTAGTTCATGTAGTAGGTCCTCACTGATGTTTTCCTTCTCCTGTCCTCCAGAAATCCCTATAATGTGAATATTTGGTCACTTAATACTATCCCATATTTCATGTATGCTTTCTTTATTTCTAATTTTTTTCTCTTTATTTTGGCTTGACTGGGTTATTTCAAGTCTTTTCCTCCAGATCAGAAATAGTTTCTTTCACTGGGTCTATTCTGTTATTGAAGCCCTGAGTTGTATTTTTTATTTCATTATTCAAAGTTTAAAATCCAAAATTTCTTTTGATTTATTTTTAGTGATTTGTATCTCCTTAAGGAATTTCTCATTCACATAACCTATTGTTTTCTCACCCCTTTAAACTGTCTATCTTTATTCCCTTGCATCACATTGAGTTTCCATACAATCATTATTTTTAATTCTATTCCAGGCATTTCATGGATTCCTTCACAGACAGCTCTATTTCAAAACTATTTTGTTCTTTTGGAGGTGTCATACTTCTTCATATTTCCTGTGTCCCTAATTTGAGATCTGTGCATTGGGTGTGATAGTTCCTTGTTTTTATGTAGTAGGTTGTATTGAGTAGAGGGGTTTTTTGCTGTTGTTTAGATTCAATGCAAGGTATCATTTGGCTTATGGGGGGGGGGGTTGTCACTCCCCCTCTTCGCAGAGGAACGACACTGGACCCTGTGCTGTTCTTTTGTCTGCTCGGCCCTTCCTGGGTTTGCTGCTGGTTCTTCCTGGGTTGGCTGCCAATCCTTCCACCTCCGTGGAAGGGCGGCTCCCCCTGCCACTTTCCCCACTTCCGCAGGGGAGCGGCACACCGCCGGCTGGCTCTCTCGGGGGCTGCTCAGATGTTATCCGGATGTTCCCCTTAGATGTTCCTGGTGCATGTTGTCTCTCTCCTCCTTTATAGTCCTCTTCCACCAATCCCAACTCTGCTACCCACACGCCAAGCACGCTGCTCTCCTCCAATCAGGAGCAGGATCAGCTCCTGCAGGTTATTGGTCGAACTGGAGGCAGCTGTGTAGAAGTTGTTTACTCCTCTCCCAGCGCCATATTGTGGGAGAGCAGATGCATAGAATAAGTCTTAATTCCAGTAACTTAGTCTAGTCCGAGTTGCTCCCCACAGGGGTATGGGAGGCTTTGGTTCTAGGTGAGCCAAAAAAATTTAACCTCTGAGTAATTTTTTCTAGGATGTGTATTGTTAGTCCCCAGAGAGTTGGTTGTCACTCACACGAGCGTTTGTGATAGCCAGAGCCTTAGTCTTGGAGCTGAGAGACACAGAGAAGACTGTTCTCTTGTACCACTGAGCAGGCATGAGTGATGCTGGGGCATGTGGCACCAACAGCTGTTGAAAGAGTGTGCTGGTGCCAGGGTTTATGGCACCAAAATTCCTAGTCCTAGAACTGGAGGATTTCAAAGGGACCCTGCTCCAGTGCTACAGAGTGACTACTAGATATATAGGAGATTTTGCACTGGCGGGCATGTGACCAGAGAGAAGGAATGCAGACAGGTTTTTTTCTGGGTCTCACAGGGTTGATTCCAGTGAGTCTGAGGAAATTATTACTAATTATTACCATACGGGTGCTACAGAATTCAGTGAGGTCATTACCCAGGACTTCAAGGGTGAGAGTCAGTTGTGATGGGATTGGTAATAGTCACCTACCTGAGGCAGGGCAATGCAGATAGAATATCCAAATACCACAAGTGACAGCAAGTTATTTCAACAATCCCAGCTTTGCAAGGCCCAGATGGAATTGCCCCAATTTCCATTTGGCATACAACAGTGATGCTGAGGCTTACACCCTGGGCTCCAAGCATTTTGATCTAGGAGGTACAGAGGGAACTTCCTTACATCTGTTCCTCTTGAATTTTTATGGACTGCTGCTGGTGCTAGTTCCAAGAATATCAGAGGACCTCCTTGGATCATGCACAGTGAATGAGCACAGCTTTGAGGCTTATGCCTGGGACTCCTACAGTTCCAGGGCACAGAGAGTCTGCTCTCATACCTGAAAAGCATCTTGTCTCTGGTTCTGGTGGCTTTTGATAACAGAAGGATTGTTTGCTTAAGTCAGAAAAATGTCCAGCACCAATTCTACCACCATGAATTGAGTCTAGTGCTTTGTTGGAAGGGAGCTATATGGCTTCCCTTTTCAGAGAAAAGTGGTCGCTCAGACCTCAGTCAGCTCCACAGGCTGGACTTGAAGTCAGTGAGGACTGTGGGATTCCCCCACAGTTAGGTCTGCCAGT